TCAACCTGGGGAAGGAGTGTGCTCTGGACTCCAGCTGCCTTCAGCCGAAGCTCAGACTCAGGCTATGGATCGGCAACGTTGGAAGCATTATATCTTATGCGTCTGGCTCGCGACCCGAAAGGAGAAGCGGTCAAGGAGGATGAAGATGAAAAGTCCATCTGGTCTGTATAGCAGCTGGTGGAACGGCGGACTCAGAATCGTACGATGTAAAGACAGTTTGACGTTTGGTTATAACCTTCTGATCAGAGAAAGACGCCTTTCCATCATTGTGAGGTTCATAAATGAGTAGTACTACTCTTTGGGAAAAAGTGTAGTAAGTATTCGCCATTGTGACCATGCTGTTGAATACCAAAAACTTTCTGCGGTATGAACCAATTCATGATGCCACTGCGACCAGTGGGCTGAAAAATACATAGCGATAAGTATATGGTCATAAATTTAAAAAAATGAGAAGTTTACTAAGTTCAGAACAAGCAGTGCGGCTTCATCGTTTTGCTTCAGCAGTGCGGATTCCCTTTCCAAATGATGTGAAAGAAGCATTTGCTGATTCATTAACTGCGAAAAAAATTACGATTAAGTTGCCCTATCTACGCACAAAACTGTACAAAGTGTAGCCTACACGCAGAATGGAGGTCAACTGCAGAGAAACATTAAATTTTAATACAACAGCTGAAAGATAGCCGGGTTAACAGAAAGAAGTGCTGTCAGAGAGTACTTCGTCAACGGTGTGCACCGTCGTCTGCCATTTGCATTTCATGATTTTTGGCAATGAACAAGAAATGTTCATGAAGAATCAACCATCTCTGGACAAGCTATATTGGACTGGATTCCAAGAGAAAATAAATGGGCCGCGAGAAGACCTACATATCGATATCAGGACGACTGGAAGAAATGTTGGAACAAAGTGGATGAGAACCGCAGAAAAATTTTTGTAGCAAAATCTTCGAGCGGCCTTCATCCTGCAGCGGTTCGAAAAAAGCTGACGATCACATGATAATTTTAATTATTTTTATCGATAGGATTAACAGCACACATCCGTGGAGCGTAAAACATCACAACAGCTTGTGCTCGAAAGGGTTATGCGCCATCTACAGGTGATCTCATCGCCTTTCATGCAAACCCTTGATATACTTGCTCGGATCACATCTGCACGCAACGAGCAGGGATACGATTAGTCTGGTCAAAACCGATGACACCATACTCTCGAGAAAGTCAACTCAACGTATACAGAAAAATGAAACCCGGTCTTATGAGTTTACCAGAATACTGCTAGTCATCGATACCGGATTGAAGCGGAAGTACCGCCCCCTTGCTTCTAGTCGCCTAGGGGACCACTTAAGCAGACCACGGTCCCGTGGTATTTGAACATCTGCAGTGCAGGGATGCAGAACTGCATCACTAGGCAGGACCGAACAAGGACCAATAACACCAGGTTTCATTTTTGCGTATAAATATGCCTAGGATCGTGGCATAATTGCAGGAGTCCCAACAGGCCCTTGTTCGGCCCTGCCTAGTGATGCGGTTCTGCATCCGAGCACTGCAGGTGCTCAAATATCATGGATCCATGGCCTGCTTAAATGGTCCCATAGTCGACTAGAAGCAAGGGGACGGTGCTTAGGCCGATTCAATTCGGTATAAAAAACTATAAAGGATCAACTCAATGTGCTCTGCGGGTTGGTGCAATGCAGCTCAAGTCGGGAGAGAAAATCGTTGCCGGACAGTTTTCATAAACAAAAGAAAGCAGATTCAGCAATAACACACGAATTTGTCAAGAAAAAGTGAAACTCAACAGAGATGTATCTCAAAATCAGTCTACACACCTTTTTTACCGACAGTCAACAGTGGTAGAAACTGACCTGAAGAGCGCGATTGCGAATTCAAGCACCGTAAATAAAGATATTCAAAAAGGTTTCTGAAGTAGTAGGATACTTTCATTCTGAGGTGCTTCTCCTTTACACAGAGAGACTGCAATTACAATGGTGATATATGATTACGACGTCTGGAGAGACTTGCAAAAAAGAAACCTTGTGTAGAAAGCAGAACGGCAGGCAGGTAAAGGCAGATCTAAAATTAGAATGATGCAAGTGCACTGAATACTTAGCATTGTCGCACTCTGGAGTTCAGTCGGGTCGGTAGTTAACCCGGTTTGCGGAGGACCGGGTCTGAGAAAAAGCATCACGCAGTTACCGCAGTTACTGTCACACGGTCATAAAGAAATAGCGTGCAATGAAAATATACAAGCGAATATGAAAATGTCCACTGATGCGATAACAACGAAACTTGAAACGTTAAGATTCACTACAGATACTGACTGAAATTACGAACTAAACCTAAACAAATGTATGCAATGAAACGAAGTACAAGCCAATGGAGAGCGGAAAAGTATACCTTCTAGGTCGCTTCTGTTTCTGAACTTTCTTCTTCTTACCCCTCTTTGGTTTGGGTAGAATCTTTCGCTAAAACAGTCGGTCACAATTGAGTCAAAGTGAATAAAAGCGTACCTTGGCAATGAACACCACATGTTTTCCGCTGAACTTCTTTTCAAGTTCCCTCACTAATCTCAGCTGAATCTTCTGATAAGGTTTTAACTGCGGGAAAGGAACGAGCACGATAATCACCTTGCGGCTTCCAACCTCTATTTCCTGAATTCGATTCACTTTGAAACTAAATCTAGTCACAGTTTAACTGACCTTTGCTCCGACGACGTACAACTCCCTCAACTGCGCTTTTATATCACTGCTGGCCTGCAGTTCAACGAGTGCCTGAAAACATGAAATTAGAACACATCCATGTTAAAACGCATACACAGCCATGTTAAAAAAAGAAACTAACAGGCAGTTAATAAACACACACAGCTTAAAAAAATACTACATCTTCAGAGAAGTCAAAACTTCAGGTATTACTCAATGCACTGAAACTTCCCCATCGACCGTTAGTTTGCTGTCGCTTTCCCTGTAAGAATTTTGCGGTCCTAGGCAAAAGATAACCTGTTCCGCTCTGTTTTCTCCATTCACTCCGAAACA